ATATTAATGTATTTTACTGTTTTTAGCTTTGTTGTATGCCACCCAGAATTGCCTGTGGTGAGTTGGGCAGCTATATAAACTGATTTAATAAATAAATAAATTACATATTTACTATTCTTTCTGTTTTAAAGATACTTATTAATAACTTATCTATTAGAACAGAATAATGCAATTAAAATTTTCCACCATAAAACTTAAAAATCCAACGAGATTAAGAATACAAATGTATAAAGTTCAACATGATAAAATACAAAGCAGGATCTAAGACAATTAGTAAATACAGAAGCTAAATTGCCAAAGGGACTATATTGAGAAAAAAGAAGTCTTAGTCTGAAACCAAACAAAAAGCAGAACAAGTGCCATGCAATTTCTCTGATCATCCAGAGAAACTGCATGGCACTTGAAATGCAGTCACTGCATATAGTGCAATCACTATTGAAATGCAGTCACTTCACTAGTGTAGTCACTATTGAAATGATTCATTCTTCATCTTCAGAATGACAGGCATTTGGGGAAGTTCTCAGCACATGAAGGACAGATATACTGTATGCAGAAGAAGAGTTTCATCAAATACTGGGGTCTCAAGTATTACACAGCATTTTAGAAATTAAATACAGCACAATGAATTCATAAGAGTTTGGGGAAATATAAAAGGAATGCTGAAATGAAAATGTAATGATCAGAACACATGTACTGTATAGCATTAGGGAAAATAAAAAAGCACCATCTTAGAAATATTAAGACAAAAACTAATAAGCTTAAAATGAGAGTAAATATTGTAAGAATAAAACGATCTAACATTGCCACTTACATTACAAACTAAAAAAGGGCTGCCTGCATAAGACGACCCATGAAGTTAAAAGGAATGAGGGGAAAAGGAAAAAGAAAGGACAAGAGGAAAGGGAAAGGCCAAAAATTCACTACTGCTGAGATTAAGCTGAAGTGGTGCTGGTTCTTCAAAATATAGAAAAATAACACCTGTATTTATCCCAAATTGTTTTTGTTCAGTTGTTAAGTCGTGTCCGACTCTTTGTGACCCCATGAACCATATCGCACCAGGCCTTCCTGTCCTTCACTGCCTCCCTGAGTTTGCTCAGTTTCATGCTCATTATCCCAAATTACACAGGACCAAATTAGGGGCTGCATGCAGCTCACCAGCATCTCATTTGTGGTCCCTAGATTCCTCCAGATGAGTGAAGCTAAAAATCTAGACTCTCTTTTTGCATTTTTGAGGCATTTTAAGAGGAACAATTGGTGGTTTAAGCCTTGCAGATGCTTTGTACCCATTTTGTTCCATAGAACTCCTTAAGCTGCTTCTCAAATTGGTCAACAGCCCTGCCTACTTTTACAGTACGGCCCTCAACATGTCACACAAAACCTGGGGAATCTCTTCAGCCATCAGAAGTCACACAACCCTGATACAGGAGAAATACAACATGGAAACAGATCACAGAAGTGAGCGAGCATAGGTGTGAGATACCAATACGGCAAAATGACAAAAAACGCAAAAGATTCTAATGTTGGGTTTAAAATATATTATCATGCTTGAAAATTTTTCACCAAACTGATTCTTCCAAGCATGCAATAATTGGGTTTGCAAACAGGAATAAACATGTTTTTCAAATTACTTAAAGTTCCTCAAGGCTGAACATACAGGTAGTCCTCAGGTTACGACTGCAATTGGGACTAGGACTGTAGGCACTAAGTGATATGGTTGTAAAGCGTGACATCACATGACTGCATCACTTAGTGATGGCAATCCAGGCTGTCCTGGTTGTTATCATAGATGTGCGGGTCGTTAAGTGGGAAGTGGAAGGAATCCCAGGTAAGGAGCCGGGGGGGGTGCCACAGGGAGGTGGAGGAGGCCCTGGGAGTCCCGGCACAGTATGTGGATAATACTCAGCTGTACATCTCTGCCCCAGGTCAAACAGGAGATGCAGTGGAAGTCTCGTCCTTGTGCTTGGAGGCTGTGAGGGACTGCACAATAGGCTTAGCATGAATCCCAGCAAGATGGAGGTTTTGTTAGTTCAGAAGCCCTCTAATTCCAGAATTGCTCCATCATTAGCTCTGGTCAGGATGCACTTCCCCTGAAAGAACAGGTTTACAACTTGAGGGGTCCCCTTGGACTTTAAACTCCTGCTGGAATAGCAGGTGGAGGCCATGGCCAGGACAGCCTTTGCCCAGCTTCTGCTGGTGTCTCAGTTGTAGCCCTTCCTGGACCAGAGGCTCTGGCAATAGTTATTCATGCGCCTATCATCTCATGGTTGGATTACTACAGCTCATTCTTCATAGGGCAACCAAGGAGTCAGAAGCTATGATTGATACAAAATGTAGTTGCCAGCACTAAAATAGCACCAGTATTTGCAAGAGCTACAATGGTTGCTAGTTGGCCTCCAGGTCCCAAATGAAGGTCCCATTCACTCTCCATTAATACCTTTTTGCTTCTTATCAGCAAAAATCTGGGGGAGATGGGCAGCATATAAATTTAATAATAACAATTTAAAAAATCTTGATCCAAATAGATTTTGTCCATCCTGTTTGCTCTGGCCAAGACAGCAGACTGAGGATCCCTACTTCAAGATGCAACAGGGGAGATTATGTAAATAAGCCTTTGCAGTAACAGCTCCCTCACTTTGGACAGCTTCTCCCGAGGTTAGGATGGCCCTTAACTTGCTAGCATTATAAAAAGCAGCAAAGATGGTACTTTTTCAGTAAATGTTTGTTGTGGAAGAGGTAACAATTGAGGCAACTGCTGAAGGGGAATATTGATTTACTGTGGCTGCATAAAGTTTTATATTGATTTTTTGTTGTTGCTCTTTTGAGGTAAATTGCCTACAATTTTTGAAGTAAACAGTATACAAATTCATGTATAAATAAAAAAAAGCAAATAACGTATTTTATTTTCTGAATCAGTGAAACATTAAGTAATTAGTTTTAATGTTCTGATTTATAATTATGCTTCTGAAACAATAATGGTCTGTTGAGAGTCTAAGAAAAAATTCAGGAAATGGTTTGGAAACAACAACAATCTGCACATTTTTCAGTTATCTGGGGAAAAAAGCAGCCAGCTCACTGGTTCACAAGAACACCATTAAGATGAAAAACTATTTGCTCTAATAAACTATAAGATAAATTATTTTCTAAAGTGAAAGTAATCCAACTACTGAAATTACGGCAACTTTACCATTTCAATAAAACTTGATAAATCTATAGAAATCTACACAGATCAGTTATAAGAGCAACTGAAACATATTTGTAACTCAGCTGTGGTTAAATATTTATTTCATTCAGAAACAAAATTCAGTCATTGGTCCAAAAGGGTGTAAGAAGCAACAGAAATTTCACATATGCCCACTCTAAAAACTACTGTTAGTAGTGAGCAAGGCAGTGATGTGCTGGAGCCAGCTTACTAGAGCCAACTGTTAAATTTTGGGGAATTTTGTGAGTCAGTTAAGAGCAGAACCCAGCAGCTAAGCCTGGTTCACCAATCAGCTGTCTGGTGGCTTGTGGAAAGGTGGTGGCAATGGAACCTGCAGAGCTGGTTATTATATATTTATCAGCACACCACTGGAGCAAGGTATTTGTCAAAACTTGTATACTAGAGACTAAGCCCTTGCAAGGGCCCTCCTGGCCACTGCCACTAAGAAATTTACAGGATTTGACTAAAATTAGGATCAGAGAATAGGGTTTATGGATTTTATGAACCCTCACTCCAGTTCTCCCTTCCATAAACAGAACATTCCTAAACACACTGCATACAATGGACTCTGCTTTGGAGTAATGTAATAATAGTAATACTAATACTAATACTAATGATACTACTACTACTACTACTACTACTACTAATATGCATGCTATTCCTGAATATAATTCAATGACCTCTTTTTCATTTTATTTATGATTTAATTAAAATGTTTACGATACTGGATCAAGCAGAAATGTTAGCTGCAGACAAAATTACTGAGCAATTTATAAAAAGAAACCATTTCTTCAGGGAATAACCAATCAATTCCCAGTGTATCATAAGAAAACTCCCCAGTTCATATAGTCTCCTTTCTCAATTTATATTGCTACAAACCTATGACGAGATTGTTTTTAGCTATTATTATGAAGGCTAGAAATCATTAAAAAATATTTTTTTAAAAAAACATTCCAAATGAGAAAAATCACCTCGTAGTAGAATTACTGTCAGATAAGAGAATGGTTGTTATCCAAACAAAAGCAAAATATTATGTATGTTTACAGTGTGAAGAAAAACTAGGAAATATAGAAAGGGTAAAGAAAAACAGATGGCAACTCAAAATAGCTGGAGATAACAGATGTGGACGAAAAATTAGAGTTCAATCCAAATTCTTGAAAGTTATTGATGAGATTGTTTCTTTATCAACTGATATTGCAAACATCATAACCTACCTTTACAGTGTCAATTAAAATGGTTATTTTACATGTCAAAGGACAGCTTCAAGAAAACAAAAAAAATTGGAATGCATTGTTGTCACTGTAAAAATACCAATGTAATGGGCTAAGATCATAAGTAGCTACAAAACTGAAATCCAGGTTTCACTATTTTTCTGCACCCTTCTGTTATTCTTTAGGCAATTCTTTCACTCATAACAGCAACACAAATATGCCAAGAAGTAAGTGTGCAGAGCAGCAGGTTGCCAACTTCACATTTTACATGTAACAAGTCTTTTACTGTGAAAAGAAAACCAGAAGGTATGTATTGGATAAATAAGAATCCTGAACAGGGGAACTAATAAGGTCAGCCCTTTGTATTTCAGGACAAAACAGCTATCTCTTATGATTATTAGTACACATTACATAGTAGTAGTGCATAGATGCCTTGCTCAACCTATTGCCAACACAGGAAAATAGGAAGCAAGTGACTATATTCACATAATGACTGTAATATCATTAAGAAATCTGATTCAAGTACTATATTATCCATACCTGTGTCCCCATCCCCGCTCTCCATTTTTACAGGTTTACTGGTTTCTGACGGAGTGTTCATTCTTGAGTCTGCATCAGAAACAAACAAACAAACAAACAAACAAACAAACAAAAGACAATGATTAGGAGAGAAAAATCCTACTGACTCTATCCTTCTGATTATGATAATCATGACATTTATTTATCAATCTATAGTGCATTCTACCATAATTGTCAGGTTTGCACCCAGAGTATATTAAAAGGAAACCAAGACATAAAAATCTCCATGTAACACTGCAGATTTTTAAATACTATTTACTCTTAAAAGGACTACTGGGATAAGAATAAGATGTTTCATAATTGTAATTAATTATTTCTGCAATAAATAAAATATTGGCTGAACAAGTAGAGTTGTACTGACATTTTATTTCATTGGCATTTCCTACTGAGTATGTTTTATTCAAAATTTGTTTTACTGAAATTCTTATACAACTTTCCAAAGTTGTTTAACTTTCCTTCTAGTTCTCCCAGTGCTAATCACCTTTCTTGTACTGATGCAGATACATCTTCTAGACAGTTGCCATGATATACGTAAGTTACCATTATGCAATTGTATCACTATACTAAGCTGAACATGATGACACATCATAGTGTTTTAGGAAATAATTCATTCTCTGACGCTGAAATCAGCCTTGAATTGTCACTGTGCAATGGTAATACAAAAATTACCATGTAATAGTAATACAATATTTATACGTTGTGCTGCTAGCAGGAGAGTAATATGTATTTATAGGAGTAAAAAAGAGGATTACAAGAAAATAAAACTGAATGGATGTGGACAGTACAATAGCACAAAAGATCTAAATAATAAAAACAAAATTGAACCCACTTCTGGTACTGTTATTCATGATTCCCTAGTTTTTTATTAACTTAATTTCATCACTTTCCAGTTATGAACAGTCTCCTTTCTGCAAGCGAACTGATTTATGTTGGAATGGTATGAAAGAATGGCATTGCTGCCAATAGATTTATTGTCTTTACAAAATACTATCCATTCTTCATCTTTTCCAGTTATGGCAAGTTTAGTGTTTTAATTACTGCAATCCAGGTAGATTTTTTTGAACATCATGAAAAACAAGGTCAACAAAAACACTCAACACCTCTTGTCTTTTGTACCTTTAGCAATGCACTAAATCTTCATGAACTTCAATTTTTCTGTGAAAGCTGATGGGGGGGTAAGGTGGGTACCCATTGGTGGGGGAATACCCCAGGTATGAGAAGCCCTATGCTTAATTCTGTTCCAATTTTCCCCCACACCTATTCACAGCCATTTTCTGGGGCAAAAAGAATAGCTGTCCACTTCTCAAAACAATGGGGCAATTCTCAGTCAAACTTGGAACCATAAGTAAGAGCAGAGCACAGGAATAATATCTGGATTTGAATGCCTGCTTGAATTGTTACTCTGCTTGAATGGAATTCTCCTATAATGGATTTTTACTAAAGTGAAAGCTCCCAATTGTGTCCATGAGTTATATATACTGTCAACATCAAATAGCCAAAAAATCTTGTAAAACAGATACCTGTGGATGTTCCCAGGCTTCTATAGAAGTTTACAGACAGAAACTAGAAACAGTTAACCACTAGGAAAGCACAGAGGCTGCCATTTTAGGATGACATATACTATTTATTTATAAGTAAAGACTGCATAAAAATTAAAGCAAAAATTGCCAGCAAGCCAAGCAGAATCAATTCCTCCAAATCTGTGAAACAAAATAATGCATACATTTTAACGATGCACAAACAATTCTTGAGAAGGTAATAAGTAATATGCAAATATTAACTTCTAGGCAAAGACAGTGTCATTTTCCAGAAGAGAAAAATGGGTTGGGAGAGAAAAACACAAGTAACTTGAGAAGTGAAGCTTCAGAAATCTGATTAAATTATATTCCACATTGTCGAAGTATTTTCTTTCCATTATACACATTATTTCAAATTCCAAACTTGAAAATGAGGATTCCATAGAGTTGTTTGTTTCAGTGCAGCATGAACCCCCCCCCCCCTTGTCTGGGTACCTTCAGGTTTTCAGAAACAGACTTTTACAACTAAAACTTCAGTTTGGTTCCAACAGTAACATTCCATTGGCAAATTCCATTCTGCCACTAGAACATATTGTTAATACACCATACATCCCCCAAACCTTCTCCAAAGGTTGGGAAGCAATTTGGGGGCAAAACTGGGTTATGCATGCAAAATAATGGAAGGAAACATAGTAATGGGAAATCCTACTGCTCATGGAGAAATATGCTCATTTTCAATGTAGCCCTAAATTACTATGTTGTAGACAAATTAGCAGATTTCAGAATATAACCTTTTGCTCTTCTTTTAATAAAGCATAGGAAAAATGCATGTTGAAAATAAAAAGCATATTTTTCTCCAGTTAAGCTTCAGTCAGAGCATGTGGAAGTTGGGCGGGTATAATAAAACTTAAATAAATAGATGATTGCAAAGCTTGGGGTAGCACTCTTAGTGTGAAAATGCCATGTTCTAAATAGGGAGTTCAAGGAAATATGTATTTGTTACATCCTACTTTCGAAAGACATTTTTATCATTCTCTTCTTTGAAACACAAGCAATTATTTCAGCAGTTATTGCTTCACCAATAATACACAAACTTTCCCCTTGCATCATGCATGCAGTTATCTGCATAATATGGAATAGAGTCAGATCATACAGAAACACTCAGTATGCAAAATCTTGCCAAAAATGATGATAAAGTACTGCTCACTGTGAAGCAAATATATTCATATAAAAGATCACCTTCCTAATTATTACACGTTGGGCTAATTAAGTAATAAAAAAAAATTCATTTTATTTATTTATATATAAATTAATAATTAATATATATACATATAATTTATATTTATATATAAATAAATACTTTCTGAATATTTGCAGTATAAATCTAAAGGAAAAAACATGCAGTATGCCTTATTTAAAAGGAATCAATGTGTAAACATTATTTTTCTATCTCCACCAATTATAAATACATTTGTACAATAGAATATTCTGTTTACTCTGAAAGTCAAAATGAATTTATTAGATTGCATCAAATTATTAAAATGTATTTGAAACAGATAATACAATAGTATTATATCCCAGAAAGATTTCAATATAATGGGTTCACTGTAGAAGCATGTTTAATGTGACGTATTTACCACAGATAATCCCTTATGCCTTATTACAGACTGCTATGATGAATTTACAACCACATGATACAGTGACAGAAAGTAGCTCAAGAGGACTTCAAAAGCAAACAGAACCTCCAGGAACTGCTTGTGAACTCCCAACATATCCTGCTCACCAATATAGTGAACAAAATTCAGGAAAAATTGGAATTCTGCTATAACCAGCAAGGAAAGTTCTATTTAAAGGTGAATGCAAAAGCACTAACCAAATGCAATTTTAAATGCAAGGTGTGGCTATAAGGCACCACAATTCAGCTAGCAGATGGTAGAACAAGTTCACATTTTTAACTATGTCCTTCCTCTTTTTGTCTTTCATAAACAGCAGCAAATTTAATGTGTTATGATGGCTCTAAAACAGTTCTGTATTCTAAAGTATGCATATTAAAAAGAAGCAAGGACTGAAAATAACAGGTGCAGTTCTGAAGGCATATGCTAATGACCTTCTAGATTCATTCTTAGTAGTATTCTGACAGATCTCCAATGCTCCAAAGTTAGCCAACCACATAATCACTAACATTTCAAAACAAATAGGAAATGGGATGGGGGGAATGGTTCTCCTAACACTGAAATCTATATGGACAGCTAATATTCATTCATATTCTCAGATACAGTTGTACCATTAATTCATCAGATTCCCAAAATTTAGAAAAGGCCAGATGAAAATCCCTTGAATAGACTGTAGCACAAATCATATTGAAAAGTGAATCCAGATATGACAAGAAGGATCAGGTATCCTAAAACAAATATTCTAGAAACAGTTCAATCTGTGCTGTTTTTATTTAAAGGTAGCTAAATCCTTTTTCATAAATTTAAAAATGCTAAATATTAAAAGTCCTGAAGGTAGAAAAGTCTATTCATTAATTTTAAAAACATATTTTAAAGAAAATTAAAACATTTATTTTTAAATGAAATTAAACTAGGAGGTAATGTTAGTAGCCATACAATGGTATCAAAAGCAGTGGCTGCTAGGATTATTTGCTTGCCTTAAACAGTGATGTATAATTTCAGTTCAGACACACACACACACACACACACACAATAATCATATAAGATGAATTAATGAAGCTACAATGGATAGCACTCCTTTTCCTAACTCCCTAGGAAATAGGGAGTTTAAGGAGAAATACACAGGAAAGCAAGTTCCTATCTATCTCAAAAGGCAAATGCTTTAAAAATTAAAATTCTGTAAGCTTCCATTCTTGATGTTCATGAGGAACTCCATTTCTCCAATGCTGAAGAGTAAGATTCTCTAGAATAAAGAAAAATGAAGAATGGAGAAGGTGTTTGCCACTGAATCACTGACAGCTCTCAACATTTCAAATGCTTCTCCCAGTCCTGCATATGCGATTAAGCCTGTATGCATAGTCATTTTTAACAACCACTATTTCCATATTACATGCTTGCAAGAAGTCAGTGGAACCGATACCCACCTAGAACATAGTCGCTGCAGTCCAGCATTGCTGTGCAATCCTCGGTAGATTTAGATAGTCCAAGGAAAGAGGTAAAATACTTTCTAAAATAAAGGCATACACTACTACTCTTAAAAGAAGAAAGGGGGGCAGGAGTAGGAAAAAGTACAACTTCAGTTACACCATAGCAATCTTCAACTGAACAGAGAAACTTCAGTTGCTCTGTGGAGTTTTAGTCTCTCCTACTAGCTGTGTCTGACATTGTCAAGGCGACTGAAGCATGAAAAGTTCCCCTTTTTTAATAAAATAGAAACAAAGATTGCAGCTGGCAGTTTCCATAATGAAGCTTAATCAGTATGCGCCTGATTAGGGCCTTATGCAAATCTCCCCTCGTTAGCACAGCAGCCAGCACTTTGAAGTCCATGAACAATTCATTTGCAGAGTACACTGAAAGCGCTCCCTGCATAATTTAAATCATGATATAAATATTTATCAGCTCATTTACATATTAATTGGCAGTGCATGAAGGGAAAAATTATCTTCCAAGTGCCAGCATAATAATTAGGGAACAAAATGAAATTTCTTCCAATAGCTTTGCTTCTCAGACCTAACTTGAGCACAGTACCATGGAGAAATAGGGAGGGGAAAGAGGTAAGAACAACATTCTCTTAAAATGCCACTGAAATGACACATACAAATTAAAAACAACCCCACAGACTTGAGCATTTTTAATCTTATTCCTGCTAGCAACAATTAGTTTTGTAATAAAAGAGGTTTGGAAAAGCTTTCTTCACAATCTAAATAATCCCCCCGCCCCCATTAGCAAGTTAGGAGCTGAACATAGATCTACCTAACTATAACCTGCACGTTTATGTGATATTTTCCAAATGAGTCCTACAAAAGAAAAAAATCCTGCAGAGAGCAACACAACTCTAGATACTTCTGTTAGCTGCTTTGTAAAAGTAGCCAACACTGACAGATAGGACAAGCAATATATATTTTTCTCGTTCCCCAAGGTGCCTTAAATGCTGTTGCCTAAAAGTACTAACTTATTTGCTTAAGCAAAAATTTAATTATATTCCTAAGAGGTTCAGTTTTATGTTAAAATACACATTGAAAAGTGATCTATATGTGAAAACCACACTTTGAAAAACTGGCTTACAGATTAAGAAAAAGACATCTATATAATGACAGTGGTTGAATTATTAGAAAACAAAGAACTACATAAATGGGCTTCCGAAGATGTCCGCTTACTCTATTCTTCTATGCCCCTGCAAAATGTGCTTTGGATCAGATTTGAAGGAAATGGGAAATCTGTAGGAAGAGAAAGGGATCTGTTCCACCACTTGTTTTGATCAGTATTAGATACAACCTATTAGCTTAATTGGATTTGTCCATAATCCACCATTTAGTCACCTTTTAATAATAAAGAGAGCTATTAACTACTGGATAGAGTTTTGTTTTGTTTTGATATAAAGGAAAATAACATTTTCAAGCAAGTTTTTTTATGTTCATAATAGTAAGGAGTTTTGTGCAAACCATGATAAGCAATAATTTCATCTAAAAATTAAGTTCTGGCATTTTATTGATTCATTTCAACCAGAAACCTGCAGCCAAATAACTAACTGATTAATTCAAACCTACCCAAAATTCAGTATGTATTAATGTATTTGCACAGACAATAATTGTATCTTCACCATACTAGTTCCTTAGGGTTGCCAGTAATTATATGAAATAAAAAAAGTCATAGCTAACAGAATCTTGCAACTTACGGAATACACAGCAATCCTGTGAGAATCTAGACTCAAAATGCTTTGGTTCTGTAAGTTATCATCCAGGCATACAAACTACTGGAGCTACAGTATTTACTTAATTAAACAGGAAAATCTTTTTAAAATGATATAACGTTTTTCAATCAAAATAAAATGACTGGAATGCCACCTTAGGTAAAGCATTATATCTTTAATTTTTTTAAAGAAATAAAATAAATCAGGAATGTATTTCCCAAGATTGTGCTTGTTTCAACTTATCGCCACCAGAAAATGAAG